GCATTTCGTCCCCGCTCCGCCTTGACTTCCTTGCTGGGGTGAAGCACGCGGTGCAACATGGTGAAAGGAAAAGGTGGGTTCCGGTATTGTCCACAATTCCGAGAACTGATTTTTTTTTGCAATAGATTTTTTTTGTCACTCATTATCCACCGGAAGTTCCCAGAATATGAATATATNACGAGAGTTGCACGTGTCTGCCTCGGTTCTTGTTCTCGTCGCAATGGATCGAGCGAAAGTTTCTGAGCCTTCAACCTCGTCGGTAGCAAAATATTTGACCCGAACGAAAAACGCGATGGGATCTCGGCGATTGAGAAAATAGGTACAGTTTACGGATCTGCGCCTGTTTCGATGCTGAAGATACTTCCCACACACCGATTCTTCTGGTCTATAAAAAATTGTGATCATTTCCGAAGTACTGTCACGTAGAGTGGAAGAGCAAAGGTGACATTTAAAAAATAGTAAAGCGTCAAGGTCAACACCAGGCGTTGAGGTTTTGAACATGCGCGCATGCAGAGTGACGTCACAAGGATGCACACATTAGGGGCCGCGGCTCTAGGTTATTTTTTTCTTGTGCTGGCCTCACTGTCCTCCCACGCACACAGCTTTTACGTGCAATCTATTGTCTCCCTTGCCCTGTTAGTTTTTCTATGCATTTCAATGCGAGCAATGGAGCAATTACTGATGTGTTGGCCCTAATTTTGAGAATAAAGACAGAATAAAGGTCTTCACCGGGTGACGGGGAATTGAAAATCCTTAGATGACTAATGTCAATTAATCGAAACCATCCTCTTTTCCTGGAAAAACCTCAGTAATCGCATATCGACATATTCACCCCAACCATTCATCCATGAAAATACCATCCTTAAAAAAGGGAAATAAAAAAAACAAACAATTTAGGTGCAGGCAAGAGAAGTTTAAGTCTGATCCTTCCGAAGAAAGGATCCTTCCCTTCCTCGGCGGTCGGGCAATGACAATTCTATACCTCCTAACTGGAGATTTTTTTGCATTTCGATTTTGCTCATTTGAGGAAGACTTGCGAGACAGTCCTGGGTCTCCTGTCATGAGTCGAGGAAGCTACCAGCCGAGCCTCTCCCCAGCCCGTTGAAAAGAGATTCCCCTGTGTGACGTCACAAGGATGCGCTTTCCTAAACCCGTCTGCCACGCACGTTAATGAAGCGCCTATTGCCCGAACCTTGTATTTAGTGACCTTGGTCAAGGTGCTTTCTTCCAGGAAGGCCGAAAGAACACAGGACTCTTTCGCGCTCAGAGCCCGGTGTCATCATCGAAGGACTTTCGCTTCTCGGTTGGAATACTCGAGACTCGTGAGCCGATTGCATGGAATGTTCACAATGCCATCCAGTTCGGACAGAGAGCCGGATCGAACATTGCAAAGAATGACACCGTCGGCATCGACGATGGTAGGGTTTGTATACCACTGGAAATCCACTACATAAGAGGGGTGTTCCGAAAACGGTTCGTGACTTCTTCGGCCAGTGCCAATCGCCCCCGTAAGAAGACAAAGTTCGGTTTGGTCGCTACTGGAAGAATGCATCCCTCGCCATCCCACCTTCCCCCCGCCTTCATTCAGTAACTATTGGTTGACTGGAGTAGGATGCGGGCTTGAGGCCGTGTTGTGCTAAGGGAGGACCGGCTGATCAATTCGAAGCATCTGGATCAGGAAAAATTAAGTTCTTGGTGTGGTTGTGCCAAAATTCCTTTTAAGTCCATCGGTGTGGATTTGGAGTTCCTACTCGGCCCAGTTCGATGACATTCATTTTATAACAACGCGCAGATTTCATGGGGGACTGCAGTGACGTCATGTTGAAAACTTCGGATGCGGAGATGATCAAACCTAAGACATCATTAAAACCTGAGAAAAAGATCTCAAACAGATTTTTCCTTCTTTCGGGACCTCATCTGCGATCCGTCAGTGTGCAGCCACATGTTGTGTTGTGAGCTAACTCTTCTTCTTGACATCAGGAAAACCATCGGCACTCTTGAAGTGGGAAGATCCACCTGTAAATTGAGTCACAGGGTGATGCTTGATGTAACTTCCCTTAGACGAGGGTGGTTACAAAAACCAAATCCTCGTTCCAATGCCTCGAAGCCCTCCGATGTCGACCGCTGATGTAACTTATCATCGTTTTTCACGAAGCTATCGGCCATAGAAAACGACGAGGCTTTTTTTAAATTATCCTGTACATGAATGGTCATAGAGAGCATGAGGTGCTAATTGGGTGGAAGATCGTCGGATGCGTGATGGACAGATCCGCGAGATGCACGCATGGGACGTAGAAGCCGGCGGAGGCTCAAAAGCCTCCCTAAGAGGCGATAGGGTCGACACAAGTCGTGCTGGCGCCTCCAATGCATTTCGTCCCCGCTCCGCCTTGACTTCCTTGCTGGGGTGAAGCACGCGGTGCAACATGGTGAAAGGAAAAGGTGGGTTCCGGTATTGTCCACAATTCCGAGAACTGATTTTTTTTTTGCAATAGATTTTTTTTGTCACTCATTATCCACCGGAAGTTCCCAGAATATGAATATATCAATGGAGCATTTGGGTTTCTCCAAGGAATAATCCTAGGTCTTAGCATTTCGGCCACGATCTTCCTAACCAAAAAAAAAAAATTAGCGTGTCACATAAAGGTATCCAAGTACGGGAGTGATTCAAAGGAAACTTGGACTTTCCGTCCTACATATGGCAGCAATCCATGTGGATCCATGAAAACTTTAACACATAGTATTGACTGTGATACGAAAGTTCTTTGTGGCGCCTCCGTCTCAGAATCAACTTCGCATGTTAAATTCAAGATGACGTCTACCTATATTAGTTTGACAAGGAAGCGTTATCGCGCTTTATGTAGCGAGGTAATTCATGAATTCAGCTGAAATTCACGGTAGACTTGCAGATAAGTACGGTGATACTACTCTATCATGATGAAGTGCAAATGAGAGGCATTCACCGTGCGAATGAGTGAATCGCGGCGGTTCGTCGCGGAAATATGCGGAAAATTACAAAGCAGTTTTAGACAACGTCATTCCAATGTCGCCCAAGAACCTGCTCGTGCTTCAGATAGGGGAACGCAAAATTTCTGCATGGAGTTGAATAACCGGTTCGAAAATGAGGAGAACGACTCGTTCGACTGAGTCCCAAGTCGCGATCGCGAGTTCAGATCCTTCGAGAAGCATGGAATGCTTCGGCAGAAATAAAGTGCTAGCTTGGGTCCTACTTGGGTTCAAGGTTTGCACAAATATTTCCATGCTACAGTTATCTGGGTACCCATATGTGATATTTACAATGAAAGTGTATCAATTTAGCAGGCACTCCCTCTTTCCCTCTTCCATACTTCGTGTTGTGGTTGTTCGGCATCGCCTTCGGATACTTTGGGGTATCCTTGAGACCAACGGATCGTGTCCCTGACTGTCTTCAAGAAAATTGCTACGGGTCTTGGTAGGAGTCATCGAAGAATATATGGATCTCACATGCATGATATAATACGAGGAGCGAAAACAAAAAGGAGAGGGTGAGGGTATTTTTGAGGGAACAAAAAGGAAAAAAAAACGCAAGCTTTTACCTCTTGCAGTTTTGATTGCCAGGATAGCAGAGAGAACTCGTCACCGGTTTCCACCAACTCGTCTAATGAACGAAGACCAAAAATCCGGTTGTTTCATTTTTAGCATCTATGAAGCCAGGAATCTGTCTGGCACTGGTGACGTACACCGGCTGCAACCGCGCGGCGGCAGTGGCCCTCCTCGCCGTCGGTTTCGGCTGCCTCTCGGGCACGTACAGCGGTTTCTTCTCCAACCACATCGACATTGCGCCCAATTTCGCGGGTGAGTCGCCGAATTACCTATGGTTTTTCTTGGCTGCCGTTGGGTGCGGGAGTGACTGTTTCCTTGTCGCGACAGGGACGCTGATGGCCCTGACGAACACGGTGGCCACCATGCCCGGTATCGCGGCGCCCGTGTTTGTTGGCGCCATGACGCATGGAGACGTGAGCTTCTTCAACCGTCGGTATGACATAAAATGTGAAACACAGCAACCAAAACGAGAGCATTTTATCGCGTTCCAGACGTCCGTGTACCGATGGCGGATCGTCTTCGTCACGTCTACTCGCTCGAGTTCCACCTGAGAAGAACCGTGGAACAAGGCGGATGAAACCAAAGACACCCCGATCCCCTCCGACCCAAAGAAGCATTTAAATCGGTTCTGCTTCCCTCGTCTACCAACTCTCCGCAGCGGAAAAATCCACTCCTCGGACCTGAGCTCCTCGTAGTTCGCTGTCGCGGTTTCGTCACGGGAGCGGGGGAGGTGCGTGGGGCGTCCAGTGCGAGGGTCGTCGAAAGGGAGGAGGAAATAGATACATTAAAATTCGCCTACTGTTGAATTCGAGATTATTATTATTTTTAGTTATTTGCATATATGTAATAAGGACTTGCATCCTTTGATTTCACTTGTCTTATTTTCCTTATCGGGTCATTTCTTTCAAGCTGGAACAGAGTGATAATTGCTGAAACCATATTTCCTATCAATTACACCAGCTGTTCCCGTCAATTGACGTGATCATGCCTCGCATGTTCGCATCAATATCTCACCAGCAAGTCGACGCAAGGAAATCCTGATCCACGAGGAGGGAATTACAAGATATCCGTTGCTGAGGATCGATGACCGAAGTTACCGGTACAAAAATCAGAGAGATTCTGCGCACCACTTGGAGCTAGATCTCGATCTGGTCGTCTTCAAGTTCCAGGTTCAAAGACCTACCAAGGATATGCTAACTATAACTTCGCTGTGAATTCGCTAAGGCACCATCGGCTGGCCCATAGCTCATTTGTCGATGCCTTCATTTTATCGGACTTAATGGCTTTAGAAGACTGCATTTTTAGCATAGGAAACAAAGAGAGCGATGCAGAGGCATTTAAAATTTCCCTTAAAATGTAGATGCCATGTAAATCTTTAACAGAAAAACTCAAAATTTGCTGAGGAATTTCGAAAAATAGGTTCAGCGCTCTGGCATGATTTTCTTCCGGTACATGACGCTGCTGCCGAAACTAAGGACAAAAGCATTTGTGCAAAGCTCCATCATCAAGGCTCTGAATGAGAAATTCATCATCTATTAATGTGACATGGAAAGATCAGATGAAACTGGCTGAAACTTTAAGTTTCAATTTTATGGTGGATATTTGAACAGAGAACTATCCGATAATGCTGCTTTATTTCCAGGATTTATCATGTATTTTCCCTGGAATAAAGCTGTGTTATCGGATAGTGTTCTGTTCAAAAATCCACCCTTAGTTTTTATAATGTCATTTGTATGCTCATCGAGGTCGAAAATTTCCTTTTTATTCTAACTTTGCTTTGACGTGCCAAATCATGGTGAATAAACTCTGACTCCGAATAATGCCCGAGTCCCTATCCCTCATCGGCCTTCACTGTGCAGCGCTGGAAGTGGACTTGCAGTACACTTTAAATGACATTGACATCAAGTTAGACCTGAAGGGTTTCCTGCATAGAGAATGCTCCTGAATGAGGAACTTTGACATCAAGAGATATGCACAAGTAGCTCTCCTGCAGAGATAATGCACTAAACAAATGTGGCACGGGCTCCAATATGCTGATGGAGCTGCATGTAAATCTACTGGCAGAGTCATCATATTACTCCCTCATATCTGCAGTCTCGATTAAAATTATGCAGACTAGATAGAAAACTGAGTGAAATATGACATTTCTGTGCTTGACTAAATGAAATGCCTGTTTGGATGATTTAACTCAGGCCAAATAAGTCTCACTTGATTTGCACAACTCATTTCAAGGGCAGTACTTATCTCCTAGTTCAGATTATTCATAGGTTTTGTATCATATTGGTTTCATGAGTCTCACCCCAGAAAAATGAAGGTTTCAAAATGGCAGCTGGGGCATAGGGAAGACAGGAACACCCACTAACTGCTCCACTGTAACCCATTGCTGGCCTGTCAAATGAGGAAGGACAGGGAAAGAGAAGCTCTTCTAATTGTTCACACTACTGGCACTCAATCTTCATTAAGGATGTGTGTCTCTATATGCAACTACATGAATTCCCACAGTTCCACAAGAAATTTGTAAACATTTCAGAGAATCATCTTGAAATAATTATTGTATAAGGAAAGAAATCAAGACAACTGGAAGGGAAGGGGGAAAGCAAGCCATCCTACCAAAACTGCTTCAGGACCACCCTGCTTCAAGCAAAAGAAGCACACACAACATCTATGTGAGCTAAAAAGTATTCTAGTTTGTCTAAGGGTCTTTTGTTTTGGGTTATATCTCATGGTCTGTAAATGAGAATGCAGCATCATGTTACCAAGATCATGTTCATTTGCATCACTGGAACATGACAAAAACAGAAACAAGATTTTTCTCTTTGGAGGGATGCAACTGGAAAAATAGCAATACGTCTGCTTGAAGGACGGTAACCAAGGGGAGAAACACTATGCGCAGAACGCATTCAGCAGCCCGGGAGAAGAGATGAACCACAGTGAGAACTTGATCACTTTGCAGAGAGCTTTCCTGATCTGTATCATTCATAGCAAGTCATCAGTTACGGAGTCAGGGACATACACAAGGCCTCTCTCGCTGAAGAACTTCATGCGTAGTCTTTCCTTCTCCTGTTTTGCTTCCTGCTCATGTCGTTGCTCTTCCAAGATTTCACTGAATGACACCTTTTCTAGGGGGTTATGTGCTTCTTTTTCTTCATCCTGTAATATAAAATAATAATAAAAACTTATTTTATTTTAATTTTTTTTCAAAGAGTCCAGGAAAGGTGTACTGAAAGGGCTATGGCATCCACACAATACAAACCTCATGAACTACATTCTCCCAAGGCTTTTAAAAATGAATTTCCTTTTCTGGAATTTAGGGATAATTGAAGCAGTTGCAACAATTCCAAACATCTGTCTCAGCAGCAGTGCTAAGAAGCCCAAAACTTACATTCAACTTCAAGTCAATTTAAGTCCTACTGAATTTAAGAGAAGTAGATGGAACCACATCAAAATTCTGATGAATCAGATACAACTTTCTTTGGAAGACGTCTAGGAGAATCTAATTAGATTTAGACTCTTTCAGTGCTAGACCTATAAGCTATTTTTGGCAAATAGCACATCCATGCTATTTGACATCAACTTAATAGTATGTAATAAATCACTGATGATTTTCCTTTTTTCTCCTAGGCATTCACATTATCATATTAGAAACAGAATTAACCCTTTGGCTGTTTGCCTGAGTACATATTTGGGCTTCTGTAGTGCTAGCTCAAGTATGTTCTCAGCCTTAGACCATTCACTGTTTCTAAGTTATTTCACCACCATGCAAGAAACCGCTATCTTCAAGAGTCATCATGATATGACATTTTCTTACATAACTATTACTTTCAGGTAAGCAGTGCCAATTTTTATAACACCAGGGGATGGCAGATATTTTTTTTTTAAAACAGTGAAAGGGTTAAGGGGTATGTTGATTCTAATGCTCATTCCCAAATGTTTCAGAGTTTGCTCTAACCAAACCTACCACTCACAAAGCTAGCAGTCCCAGTTGAGCAAATGTAGCACACAAGAAACCCTATTGACTAAAAACTGTTAGAGATCAACTGTTTCATGTTGGATATTCTTACCTGTGGTTCACAGGCCTACCACCAATATCCTTCAAGATGGTCAAACTGAAATCCTGTCTGACTACAGCAGCATTGTTTAGATTTGCCTTATGCAAATCAACCACAAACTTTGAACTTACAATTTCTCCAAGAAGACAAACATTCTCTCCACGAACAATGAATACACCTCTGTCCATGTCACCATACTTCTTCCCAACATAAATTCTCTCAACTGTACGATGAAGTACGAGGTTGGCAAACTGATCCACAGATCTGAGGTATCCGAGCAGAGTCCTCCCATCCCTCAGCACCACTAGAAGCCGCTCTGAGTGAAGAGAATCACTTTCATTTAGATCCAATATTGAAGACACAACATCCCAAAGACATGAAGGAAAAGAGGGGAACACTTACTGTCCAATTCATTTATGAGGCTGGCACTACCAGGAAGGTACTGAGAGGCTACTGCCATCCTGAATAATGAAGGTGAAACAATTCAGCTCAGCTCAGGTGGTATCCAAGAAGCCCTTTCTCGATTGCTGTTGTACTAATCTACTACTCCTACTAACCTAGTCTATTACTTCTTTCTTACATTAACCCCTTCACTGGCATGTTTCCAGAATGGTCTGGATGAACGATGAGACCAGCTCGTCTGTAGCAACGAAGGGGTTAAGGGTTGCTATTTAGTAGTTAACATGAAAAAAGGACATTATAAATATGGTTATGAGTCATCCCAAATTTTCTATGAGAATCTGAAAACTATGTCCCCTTTTGCTCATCCTGGAGACCTCTTCCAGGGCATACAATATTCCAAAATGATCTTTAGCAGTTTTGAACATTAAAATAGTCCACATCACACAAGAAAGGCATTTAACTTTTGGACACTTGGAACTTGCAATCATGGACGTGTTCCTATATTTTCTAATTTGCCTATGTGAAAATGAAATGACAGGAAATCTAGGCAGCCACATGGCCCTTCTACACTTTCAAGCCAAAACTGCTAGCAGATATAGTCTGTTATCTATAAGGAAAAGAAGAGTGATGCAGAGCTTGACTCTAGGCTAAGGTGACCAAATTTTTTTCAGGAAAAACCAGAACACCATAATGGAAAATTCAAACCAGGACATAGCCTGAGAAACTGGAACTGTCTCAGTAAAACCGGTATGTCTGATCACCCTACTCTAAGCCATATTTTTTGCAAAGACTTATTTGTTTAAGTCCAGTCTTTTCCCTATTTATGAGGCTGGCACTACCAGGAAGGTACTGAGAGGCTACTGCCATCCTGAATAATGAAGGTGAAACAATTCAGCTCAGCTCAGGTGGTATCCAAGAAGCCCTTTCTCGATTGCTGTTGTACTAATTACTACTCCTACTAACCTAGTCTATTACTTCTTTCTTACATTAACCCCTTCACTGGCATGCTTTCAGAATGGTCTGGATGAACGATGAGACCAGCTCGTCTGTAGCGACGAAGGGGTTAAGGGTTGCTATTTAGTAGGTAACATGAAAAAAGGACATTATAAATATGGTTATGAGTCATCCCAAATTTTCTATGAGAATCTCAAAACTATGTCCCCTTTTGCTCATCCTGGAGACCTCTTCCAGGGCATACAATATTCCAAAATGATCTTTAGCGGTTTTGAACATTAAAATAGTCCACATCACACAAGAAAGGCATTTAACTTTTGGACACTTGGAACTTGCAATCATGGACAAGTGTTCCTATATTTTCTAATTTGCCTATGTGAAAATGAAATGACAGGAAATCTAGGCAGCCACATGGCCCTTCCACACTTTCAAGCCAAAATTGCTAGCAGATATAGTCTGTTATCTATGAGGAAAAGAAGAGTGATGCAGAGCTTGACTCTAGGCTAAGGTGACCAAATTTTTTTCAGGAAAAACCAGAACACCATAATGGAAAGGAAAATTCAAACCAGGACATAGCCTGAGAAACTGGAACTGTCTCAGTAAAACCGGTATGTCTGATCACCCTACTCTAAGCCATATTTTTGCAAAGACTTATTTGTTTAAGTCCAGTCTTTTCCCTAGGAAAATTCAAACCAGGACATAGCCTGAGAAACTGGAACTGTCTCAGTAAAACCGGTATGTCTGATCACCCTACTCTAAGCCATATTTTTTGCAAAGACTTATTTGTTTAAGTCCAGTCTTTTCCCTAGGATGGTTGTGAATTGGAATACCGCCACAATCAGGTCCCTATTCACAGTAAGTTATCTTTTGAGAAGTTCCTCTTTGAACTTTTATTAACTATCGCAGTCCACAGTCACCTTTGCTTTTTGCACTAAATTTTCATATCTGTTTTCTAAACTTGATTTGATACAGGAATAACCAAGCCCTCACATCGAGAGCAAAAGATGCGTATTTGATCACGACGTCGGTGAGGTGAATCTAACGTCTGCGCGTCTGTTACTAGGCACGTTTCCTCGCACAAGAGCATTTGCAGCTCCTACATACCAGCACGACGGGGACTAGGCCTAACCCTAAACCGAGACACCCGCAACGGACACGAAACGGCACCAGTCCAGGCCCACCACTGCAATCAGCCGGGCCCTACGCAAGGCTCCCTTCAGCACGCTGCCATGAGTGATTCCCGCCCCCTCTTCCGGGTCCCGTCTTCACTGCTCTTATTTCGCCGAGAATTAACGAATGAATAAATGTGTTTGTTGTCTGCAGTCATTACATGGAATCCTCTTCAACGAAAAGACGAAGATCCAAATTGATCCTACTTATCCGATCTTTCTGGCGATCACCGCTGGACTTCCCCGAAGAATATTGCTAGTGCAATTAGACGTTTGGGGCCGTTCACAAATTACGTAACGCAAAGGGGGGAGGAGGGGGATCACACAAAGTGTGACGATTTGTTACGGGGGGGGGGGGGGGAGGGTTGCACGAATGTCACATAACAGGTTTTTTCATTAAAAAAAATAAATAAATTATGCGACTGGAATATCTTATTAGAAGGTTAATTGTTTAGTAACAAATCACTCGCACGGCACAAGAGCCAATCCTACTGCCCACCCGCACCCACTACCCTTATTAACAGCCGAGTGGGCATTAAGAGCGTGGGAACGTCTGTTGACTTCCCTCTCCCCTGTTGCAAAATCTGCTAAGTCGCAGTTTCATGCCTGGACCTGCACAGACAGGCCAAACAGACTCAGTTGCCCTCGTTCGGCGCTCTCTCTCTGCATCGCGATCTCTATTTCCACCATTCTACCCTACATTTCCCCGTCTCCTTTTACTCTTTTTTTAAATCTCAAAAGGGTAATCACCATCAATCAAAATGAACATAGACAAAAGAAAATTATTTCCTTGAAGAAGGAACCGAATGAAAGAAAAAAACTTTCCTTTTTTTAACATTTTAATAATCTCTCGAAGTGGGAATCCAGTGTTACTTATGAGTGTTTAATAAACGAGTTTCTTTTTCAAATGCATTTACTTGTTTATCTCATTATTGAAAAAAATGAAGAGGTGGGGGGAGTCATACTTTGTCACGTAATTTTTTTGGGGGGTTGAAGCTTTTGTCACGGAGTGTTACAGGGGGGAGGGGGAGGGGTTAATAAAGTTTAAAAATCACGTTACGTAATTTGCGAACGACCCCTTTGATGGGATTTCCTGGCTCTAGCAGCGTGGGACTACCGAGCTCATGGAATCTCTTCTTGAGAGAAATTGTCGACCGCTTTGCAAGTGCATGCGCTCGAACGGCACGACGTAACTTCATATTACTCCTTGCACCAACACGTTGGCGTTGGTTAGTTCGTAAAATGAATTTCAAGGTTGTCAGACGAATACTCCAATTAGAGATCTTAGATTTGATATCGCCAGTAAGGAAATATTTTCCTTCTGTCGAGTGAGGCATGGTTCATTCATTAATTTTCAGGCCGTCCATCCCAATTCAATGGGATCAAACCTCAGGAACTCACTGGATACGATCTTTTGCTTTCGCTAGAGTAGGTTCTAAATTGCATGGTGAAGTCTGGACATTAGTGGACTGTTGTATAAGCAAATGAACTCAGCAGATGAATGATAAAAATAGTACCTTTCCATAGAACTGAAAATAATAACGAAAGGAGCTTGTTTTCATACACACTTCTTTACATGCTTTCAGTTTCTATTTGCAATTTTCTGCCAACTTTCCGTTAACCTAATTTTCAATTGCTCAGCTTTTGTTTCCTGTGTCAGGGAAAGGAAAAAACAAGTACATTTAGAAAAACTTTATGCAGCACTTCCGCTCAGATTGAAGGCTCCAATAATTTCACTGTTTCCAGGCTCCAGTTTGAAGTCAACACTGGTCTTGAAAATCGCACATGGATTTGTCCCATTTGTATTTGAAGCGCATGAGATTCAAGGCAAAGCATCTAAAATGTCCTGTGTAAGGATGCTGCTTTCCCTCTGAGTATCTTGTGGCGACCCTGCAGGGCTCAGCACGACATTATCTGGTTGATATAGTTGCCGATATCTTGGCTCACTCACACCTTGATGGTGATCAGACTTTATTCTTTGGTGCCCCTGGGGTTCTGTATTGCCCACAAGGTTCTTGGGGTCTTTTTGGGAACACCTGGGACCAGCCTGTTTTTCCTGTGGGTGAACAGAGGCAACTGCATCTCTTCTCCGTGCTTCTACATGCTTGAACATGAGTGAAGGTGGTGGGCGAGGTTTTGGCTTGTGCTTGAATTCTGTAGGAAATGAATGCATGGGAGGATCATATGAAGAGTTTTCTAATGCAATTGGGCAGAGGTGCTTTAACATCCATGCTTACCTCTCATCAGCCTTTTGTAATGATGCTCTGGTAGTTTATAGGCATAAAGTTGTGGAATGATGTTCCTTAGATATCGATTCTTCAAGGACTGCCAAGTTCGACCTGTAGGGAATTCACAGTTCATTTCCTGAAACCACAGCACAAACCAATGGATAAAAATGAAAAAAAATCTCACGTTCTCCTCTCCAGGTGCGCTCCATACGCTTCCACATGGCCACTCCCAAATGGAGAGGGGTAAGGGCTAAAAGGTGTTATATTAAGTTTTAGAAGGATAGGAGAAGGAAACTTATACCGTAGGAAGGTCTTTGTGTTCGTATTTTTTATATTTATCGTCTGGTGAAATCGTGTTCACATGAAGGGCTACCTAGTTTCTTATACCTGGTGGCAGTGCTGAAACCTGTCAGGGATTCACTGTCAGTAGGACTGGGTTCATTGCGGGGGCTGTGAATCTCCTCGACTGTGCTACTCCTATGGGAAGGTTGTGGAGGGGAAGTTGGGAAGAGAAGTGACACACCACTTGAAGAATTATCACTATCATTCCTTGAAGCCTCACAAGGTCTTCTGAAACAAAAAATACATGTATTGGACAGTTTCAAGAAAGCAGAAGACATGGAGGAAGAATGGTTACAGTATCCATTACCTCTCTGGAGTTCCTTGCTCCATATTCCTATGTTCTCTTGAGCTTCTGGAAATTGTCCTTCTCTTCTTCCCTCTCTCTTGTCTATTAAATAAAAGATATATGAAGCCTTTGATGCTAAAATCACACAGATAGAAGAGTGGAAGGATGACTGGTGAGAACAGTAATCACCTTGTTTGTGTTTCTTGATTCATGTCACTGGCTTTTTGCAAGTTTTCTGCAATTACTTTCTGTTTTGCCCCCTCTTCCCCCAAACCATTACTGAGGTGCTGCTCCTCATTAGTCTGGATTCCTGATGTGCCAGGGGCATCCCGAGAGGCTGAACTTGCATATCTAGACTCCACTTCTGTTCCAGCATTGTTAGTGTCCAACTGAGTCACCTCAACACAAACTCCACTAGGAGAAAGGATAATTCACTAGTGTTAGGCCAATTCCTTGCAAATCCAATTTTAAGTCAATGTTGACAGTGAGGACCTTGCAACATGGAAGGTCATGGATTTTCTTGAATATTGCCATATAGAAGACTTTCGGGAATATAAAAACAGGGAACACATGATCTGACCTTACCTCTGTAGTGTTTTTTGGTCCATTCCTTTGGTTTTTTCAGAGTTTCTGGGAATTATCCTCTCCTGTATCACTTCAATCACACAAGGAATGTTATGGGGCTGCTTGGATGGAAGCTGTTTCTTAGTCTGGATTCNCCTTGATTCAATATTCAATATATTGGGTGATTCAGAAAAATACTTTAATTTACCATGTTGCTAGAATGAGATGCTTTTCTGGCTTGAGTTTTGGATAATTATCATAGAGAAAGCTACATATTTCCTCGGACATAGCATCAGGGACCCAAAGATGAAGCAGAAAGTGCATGGCGTGAAAGCAGTGCATGAAGAATTAAGAAAAACACATAATGCTATATGTGCTACATTGTAATTTGGATGTGCTAAGAGCATCCCTGCAAGAGGAAGCTCCACTATCCTCTGCCAATTAAAGTAAGAATGAAAGCAGGTGGAAGGAAGCATGTTTAGTGAAAAAATTTTTTTTGCGTGAAGAGAGGTATGTAACTTAACAGCAAAGGTTTCACATTACTGTAGGACTTTGAAGGTCTTGAAGCTCTATAAAACTGATTTGGAAGCTTAGAAAGCTTTCTGGAAAAACTACTCCTCCTTAAAATAGCCTATACTATCCACATAGTTGTCATAAATTATTATGTGGACCACAAACTAATGAAAATACTTAGGAAAGAAAGTCAGACTGCTTCTTTATACTACCTTGCAGAAAGGACTGGGTTCACATTTGGAATGCTAAAATGATAATGTTTTGGCATGACATTCCCATCTTACTACTATAAAAAGGACTCACAGTACATCTGCATTATGAACAAAGCATAATCTATCTTTACTCAGTATGCCCCCAGGTCATATTCTTCCTGAATTCTTCTCAAAATGATCAGGAAAAACATAAGCCAAGGTATAGTCCCATTCTACAGGGAGGCCCATAAGTCCCATACAGTTGTAATAAAAGTAAAGTGTTGGTAAATACTAAACACCTTGACCTTGATACACTACACACGAGTGCACAGCATTGCTGCACATAGTAATAATACAGTTATAATACCTTGCCTCTTTTTCACCACCTCCCATAATTGTACAGGACTTCCTTTATAAAAATAAAAATATATATTTAAAATTTAAATAATCCAAGAAAAAGACATCACAGAATTTCACCTTTCTCAAGAGACTTATTGGATAGCCAAAACCAGCATCCCATGAGACTTAAAATGGAAACACATTTAAAATGACTAAGGTTAATGACCTTACAATCTTACATGAAAAAGTATTGAATATTGTGTCACACTGAGAGACTTTATTTACAGAGTGATTCTGGTAGAACTGGAGCGCATTGCACAAGCAGTAGCTGCCACTCTGAAAATCTCATGACTGACTTCATACATCTCATACATTTTTCCCCATTAAAGAACAGAAGGATGACAACAAAAAAAAGCCAACAGATCCTTGTATATTATGTCAACTGGGAGAGAAACTTGTGCAACAAAGCTGTTTCCCACACATGTGGACATCAACATTTTAGAGAGATCTTCTCACTATGGGACAGAGAAGGATCATGTCATTGAATGCTACTGTCTGCACCCATGGTTTCAAGTTTTTTAGATATTTTTTACCTATCTCTCTTGGCATACATTTTTTGCTTCAGATATCCCATATGTAATGATTCAGATGCATCAGATATCCCAAATAAATGCAAAATATTTAAAGGAAGCTGAATGTTCAGTTTCTCCTTGCAACTGAGGTCCAACACAAATATATCAATGAGTGGGTCTTGTCTCCTCTCTGCTATCCTCTTTTATTTGAAAGGTTATTTCAAATACTATGGGGATAAGACTCCAGGTCATTAGGATAGAAAAGGCAAGCTCACCATACTTTGAATGTTTTATGGGCATGGATTCCTGATGTGCCAGGGGCATCCCGAGAGGCTGAACTTGCATATCTAGACTCCACTTCTGTTCCAGCATTGTTAGTGTCCAACTGAGTCACCTCAACACAAACTCCACTAGGAGAAAGGATAATTCACTAGTGTTAGGCCAATTCCTTGCAAATCCAATTTTAAGTCAATGTTGACAGTGAGGACCTTGCAACATGGAAGGTCATGGATTTTCTTGAATATTGCCATATAGAAAGACTTTAGGGAATATAAAAACTGGGAACACCTGATCTGACCTTACCTCTGTAGTGTTTTTTGGTCCATTCCTTTGGTTTTTTCAGAGTTTCTGGGAATTATCCTCTCCTGTATCACTTCAACCACACAAGGAATGTTATGGGGCTGCTTGGATGGAGGCTGTTTCTTAGTCTGGATTCCTGATGGACCAGGGACATTCCAGGAGTCTGGGTCTTCTGAGGAACTAAGTTATAAGTTATATAACCCACTAAGTCTTTTTATGAAATTAAATGGTACAACGATCTTACTCTACGAAAAGACCGAACTCAAAACCTATTAATAGTATCTCTTTCGATGTATAAAGGAGAGACATAGCATCAGGGACCCAAGGATGAAGCAGAAAGTGCATGGAGTGAAAGCAGTGCATGGAGAATTAAGAAAAACACATAATGTTATATGTGCTACATTGTAATTTGGATGTGCTAAGAGCATCCCTGCAAGAGGAAGCTCCACTATCCTCTGCCAATTAAAGTAAGAATGAAAGCAGGTGGAAGGAAGCATGTTTAGTGAAAAAAATTTTTTTGTGTGAAGAGAGGTATGTAACTTAACAGCAAAGGTTTCACATTGCTGTAGGACTTTGAAGGTCTTGAAGCTCTATAAAACTGATTTGGAAGCTTAGAAAGCTTTCTGGGAAAACTACACCTCCTTAAAATAGCCTATACTATCCACACAGTTGTCATAAATTATTATGTGGACCACAAACTAATGAAAATACTTAGGAAAGAAAGTCAGACTGCTTCTTTATACTACCTTGCTCAAAGGACTGGGTTCACATTTGGAATGCTAAAATGTTAATGTTTTGGCATGACATTCCCATCTTACTACTGTAAAAAGGACTCACAGTACGCATTATGAACAAAGCATAATCTATCTTTACTCAGTATGCCCCCAGGTCATATTCTTCCTGAATTCTTCTCAAAATGATCAGGAAAAACATAAGCCAAGGTATAGTCCCATTCTACAGGGAGGCCCATAAGTCCCATACAGTTGTAATAAAAGTAAAGTGTTGGTAAATACTAAAAACCTTGACCTTGATACACTACACATGAGTGCACAGCATTGCTGCACATAGTAATGATACAGTTATAATACCTTGCCTCTTTTTCACCACCTCCCATAATTGTACAGGACTTCCTTTATAAAAATAAATAAATATATTTAAAATTTAAATAATCCAGGAAAAAGACATCACAGAATTTCACCTTTCTCAAGAGACTTATTGGATAGCCAAAACCAGCATCCCATGAGACTTAAAATGGAAACACATTTAAAATGACTAAGGTATTAACCTTAGTCATTTTAAATGTGTTTCCATACCTTACAATCTTACATGAAAAAGTATTAAATATTGTGTCACACTGAGAGACTTTATTTATGGAGTGATTCTGGTAGAACTGGAGCATGTTGCACAAGCAGTAGCTGCCAATCTGAAAATCTCATGACTGACTTCATACAGCTCATACATTTTTCCCCATTAAAGAACAGAAGGATGACAACAAAAAAAAGCCAACAGATCCTTGTATATTATGTCAACTGGGAGAGAAACTTGCGCAACAAAGCTGTTTCCCACATACGTGGACATCACCATTTTAGAGAGATCTTCTCACTATCGGGCAGAGAAGGATCATGTCATTGAATGCTACTGTCTGCACCCATGGTTTCAAGTTTTTTAGATATTTTTTATCTATCTCTCTTGGCATACATTTTTTGCTTCAGATATCCCATATGTAATGATTCAGATGCATCAGATATCCCAAATAAATGCAAAATATATAAAGGAAGCTGAATGTTCAGTTTCTCCTTGCAACTGAGGTCCAACACAAATATATCAATATCACCCAGAACAGAGGAGAGACGATAGGAGAAAATAAACTTTCCAATAAAGTTTATGATACCCCTATTCTGAGGTCCAGTAATCCTATCTTTTCCGTTCGAGTGGTATGAAACTTACAAAATACCCGACAATGCCACCTCCTAATATATTCAAAATTAAGGAATGGTAGCATTTAAGCTCACATGAGACTCTCGTTGATTGAGGTGGATACAGGAAATGCACTGGAATTTGGAGTACCATATATGACATCTGGAGATTCTTCCTCTTCATTCTTTTCAGCTGCCCTTTGTTGTTCTCCCTGTTCATCACCTGACTCTGGTCTAAAGAGCCAAATGGCAGAATAGATGAAGAAGAGATATGGACATCTAAATGAAACATCTTCATTCTCAATGTTTATATTCTATGCTCTATGACTGCTGACAACCTAACAGTCCTATTCAAGCTGGAACTGCATATAATCATAATTTCTTTTTCTTCTTTTTTTTTTCTACAACTAATCATCTCCAACTATCTTTATTCTATAAGGACCTTGTTAACCCACCAAACATAGGCGCAGTTTGGGGGCTAAGCCATCTCAAACATTTTTTAGGAGGGGGGGAGTTTCAGCTGGTCAGTTTTGCCTTAATCCACTTACCAGTTAAAATGGATTTTCTGGATGAGAAGCTACCATACTTCTTCAAGAATAAATTTTCAACCAATGTATATTTCTATTTCTAAATAAAAACATGGAAAACCTTTACCAAAATCTCCATTTCCGTCACACCCTTGGGAGCCAGTTATCCAACATAATGAAAGTAGGAGAGGGAGGGAAGGAAGCAAGAGATTACAATTTCCACCCTTTCCCTTGGTCTTATAGCACTGAAACTCAACACAATCAACTATTCACTTCCACCATGATGGATTATCAGAGGTCAGATGAAAATGAGACTAAATTGAAAACACTGGATATGGCTTTACCATCTATATACTTGTTAAACCAATTCAGATATTCTCCTTTGTTTCTTACCAATAACAAGTGTCTAAGATACACCGGATTTCTGAAGGTTGACTTCACTAACATTCATGAGAGATCATTTAGTCCTGCATGCTAGTTCCCCTTTGTCACATGTATACATATGTAGACAAATCTGGTGAGGTAAAACTGAACATAGACCCAGAAGATCAGAAATTAATTTTTCTGTGTTCGAAGTAAGTAAGACTTCTTGGTGTAGGCTCTTGATCACAATTACAGTGAAAACAGACAATCAAGATAAAAAAAAGTAGTAAATATTCCAAAATCTGCACTCCATTTGTGACGGAATTCAAGTGCTAAGTGGTCCTCTCTGATAGAATAAAGGCAATTTGGGCCTGAAAGCAATTCTGTAACCCAAAAGGAGAATGAAATTTGATTTATTCTATTTTTGGGAAGCAATCCACTTCATTTACAACCTGTTTTGCCTTGAGACAGCCTCTACAGTAAGCCCTAATCTAGCATGAAAAAAAAGGTGGATCAGGCATAAAGATTCTACAACTCTACAAGGCAGCAAGAACCTGGCTAGCAATCAGCCCAATTTTTTCCCTTGGCAGAGCTCATATAAGACTTCACCACATTACCCCTCTGAGGGGGAGGAGTGACTTGGTCACCTCAGTTAACCCATCAAGCATGTAATTTTATGTGAAAGAAGGAATCCATAATACGTAAATATTATTGACCCATAGCAATAATTGCAGAACTTTAGTATTTTATGTAAAAAAACTGGATATGAACTCCCTTATTTCATCTTAATACTTAAATACACAATGCAGAACATGATACATTTCAATTTTTAAAAATAGATACAATGTTTAGGTTATAATGGATATATCTGTTATTAACCCATTTGACTACCTTATATGATCTATTAACCCATTTGATGGGCTAACATGCACAATCATACATTTAAGTCCTCAAGAGAGGTTAAGGGCAAATTGCTAGAACCATTCAAGTGCAAACCATCCACAATTATGAGATACAGCCATATTAATGTAATCATGGTGAGCAAAACCCATATCAAGCTCTTAGGTGAAAGTAGGACAAATGATCCCTGAATCCTGATCAGCATTTGCTGCTTTTTAAGGCAATCAGAAATCACCATTCTCTCCTAAACAAACATGACTGGATCATTTGGGTACTTCTTTCATTGTTTTCAAGAAGGAAGTACCAATGTGAGCTCTATCTCATGCCTCAGTACATACAATGTCTGGCAAGAGGAAGGGAAAGAGAATGGTACACTGCTTTCTCATATGTCTGAAGGGCTTTTATCACTTCACACTCATTAGTAAAATGTTCATAGAGACAAATTTACTCAATATCTATATATATATATATTTACTCAATATGAACTTCTTGATTTCATTTGGTATCCAGCTTGCAATTAAAGATTAGAGAATCTACTGGGATTCAGAAGTCACTCTCTCCAGAATTAATAAGGGGGCATTCCTGAATATCAGGAACAAATGATCATCCCAGGTGCATAACAAGAAGAAACAACATGACATTCCCTTTTTTTTTAAATACCTCATTGAACAGTTATCAAGAGGATTCTAACATAAAGAATAGAATTCAGGGGAAAGAAGAACCACATGAAGGTCAGGTTGCATAATAATTGTGCTTCCTTGTAATTATAGTTTTAAATTTGGATTAGCCTTGCTAGAAGACCATCCAGGCATACCTGATGATTGTAACACTGGCAAGAAGATCCTGACTTCCAGTCTCATCTGTATCCATAGCAGTAGCACTCCTGAAATGAACACATACGGGTTGTCCCAAAAAACATATCACACTTTAACTAAAGATAATTTGGCAATTTTCAACTTTGTTCATAGCTGCTCATTATAGTGTAGAGGAATGGTATAAATTTACAAAGAAACTATGGTAAAAGCAATCACATGGTGAACATTATGGAAGTGAGTGAAGAAATGAAATTTGCCCTAAGCATAGACACATCCAGGTTTTACGTAAGTAGAGAGCAAGTTATAATCTGGCAAAAAAATTTTAACATTCAGAGAAATATCATTCTCTGGGCCATCAGCATTTACACCATATGCAAAATCAATCTTTAAAATTCTACCAGAGCAATATATCACGGGTGTTAGGGTTGAGACCCCAGTTTCACTTTCCCCATGCTAAAAATCAGCAATTGACCCTGAATAAAGTGGGAGGAAACCTGGGAAACACATTTACAGAAAGACACACACAACCCAAATTCTATGGCATCTTTGTCTTTCTTTTCAGGGGGGGACTAGACAGTGGTTGTAGACTGGAGGGGGTACTCTGTGAGGCTGGGTAGAAGGTACAAACATCAAGTTACAGCCAACAAGTATGCAGCACCACCATGGAAGCAATGACCACTAGGGCTTCCATAGTATGCATTTCTTTATCAACAAAACAATGCTGTCAATCTTGCATGCACAAGATGAACTGACTAATTTTATCAAAAGTAGGCCTTGAAGAATTGATGGAAATTCTCAGCTATGGTACTTATACCAATCATAATATATTATTTGATGATTGCTATATATTGAAGAGAGACTTGGACTCAGTAAACAAACTCAATGTATTTGGACTTCTGCACTGGAACCAATAAGGATAACAGAATTATGTTTGGAGAAGGAAGATATATGCTTCACTTCCAAAAATAAATAGCAATGAAGATTGTGCTAAGAAATGTTACGTAGGAGAAAGACGACTTCCTGCATAGGATAGGATGGAATTCCCATATCTCAAGCCATGGAGTTTTTGTTGCATAGTCAATATTGGCCCAAGTACTCACGTGACATTTTTCTTCTCATCTCGGTGGATGAGTGCCTGCACTGCACTACACAGGAAGAAAAAGGCAGATTTGATTTAAATTACCTTGAGCCAAGACATGTCCCGATAGAAACAGGAATTCCATGAAATTTCATCTTACCTTTTATCTAGTCGTTGTAACATAACCACAGGATTCATCATACTCCATGTATAATTCTGTGTTCTGAAATTATTTCATAATGGAGCCAGTTGTTACTATGTTCCTTGCAAAATACAAACATATGAAGAGGACTCTGACAAACCTGTAGTTTTCCTTTTCACTTGATGTAGACAATGAAGAGGATGAATCAACATGGGATGCCTGCCTTAGTCTTCTGTGCATGTATCAGATAGAGCACATTTATAAATGCATGAGCATGCAAGGAAGTTTATAGGCCTATACACTGTATATACATGACAAGGGGGAACTGGTTCAAAAGAAATGAGTGGGCTTTTTAAATGTCAAATTTCCTTTCTATTCAATATCAAGAAAGTGGCTAGTCTGAGACATTTATTATTGAGATGGAACTAAGGGGAGAGGAAAGAGGGGGAGAATTCTCCCCCTCCCTTGGCTAGTAAAAAAAAAAGTGAATGGTAATTATTCTGTAGTTGAAAGCTCCATCAAAGAACAAGAAAAACTGCAGTCAAAGATGATTGGATACAGAGCTTTTTTACTAACAAAATTGGTCCAGCCAGATCCCTTGCTCCTTTCATCCAAAAGGATGAATCCTAGGACAGTACCTTTTGGCAATTAAATCATATACAGCAGTCACCATATGGAACTCATTTATATAATTTGCAAGATCACCTCTATATAATCAATCCAACAATAATAAAACTTCCTTCATACTTTTCATTTTTTAGTCAATTGAGGAGAAGTAAAAGCCACAGTGACTATCAGTCACACTTTCCATAAATTCCTGTAAGGAATGATTCATGATTCAAGGATTAACCCCTTAACTGGGAAGTTTTTCATCAAATTCTTTTTACCCACGGGAGGTCAGACGTCAAAAGACGTCTAACCCAGTAAAGGGGTTACAGGTGAAACTTTGCTGTATAACCTCCTTCATATCCTGCCCAACTGATTATGGTGTGATGACATATGTTCTGCTCTTACCCTCTAGCTCCACCAATAGTATTAGGAGCAAACAGTATAAGAGTACCACTATTATGTTAAACTCATTGACCAGGTACTATCAAATATCAATATTTTAAAATTAGGGCACCCTTAAATTTTAATTCAGACAAGACCTCTCTCTCTCTCCATGAATTATCACATAAACACAAGGAGAGGGTAAAATCTAGCAAGTCCATTTCATGACAGAAATCAGTGTAGCTTCTCTTTTTCCTGAACCAATACACCACCCAAAGTTCCTTGCCATACAATTGAATAAATAATCCAACCAGAGTGCTCAGGAGATGCTAAGATTAATAGAACCCAAGAAAGGCAATCTAGTCAGCATGGAGTTAAAATTGGTTCCAGAACAAATGTACTACATAAAAAATAAACTTAATTCCTAAACAAAATGCCATGAGCTATCAACTTACCCAGTTTTCCTAGGAGAGGATCTGCAAGCTGAAGTGGCCACAACTTGCTGTAACCAACTGTCCACATACTTCTTGTTATAGTCTTCAGAGTCCTAAAATAAGGAGAATAAAGAAATAACTTCTTCCACTACAAAGTTTGTCTCCCTTCTATCATGCTTCACTAAACTTGTTTATTTCTTCTAGTTGCTGTTCTTACTTCATAATTATTTCAATTACAAATAAATATCTACTTCAGGGTATTGCATGAAAATGTGCTAAATTGCTTTTGTAAAACAATGTAGCACAATAGTTACATACAGAGTTTTGCTTGGCCTCCCAACCTATTTAAAGAGTAGATTGGGAACAACTACAGGAAATGTATGCAGCTTCCATGGCAATAGTTCCAAACAACTCATGGATATCATTAATGAGCTATTACTAACAGTGAATTCCATGGAAATTAAGCTTGCACTGCACCACTCTACATGAGAGACAACACCAAAGGATGTCCTGGAAGTAATGTGCCATTTTTACAATTTTTAAACAAGTACACTATATTACTAAAAGTATTGGTACAAGCTTGCCTCCACCAATAGGAAATTGTTCCAGAGGTCATGTGCTCTATAGAGAGCATTATGGTACTAAAAGGTATAAAAAGGTAATCTGCAGTCTGTTTCAGTCAGTGTTTGCCAGTATGATGTGTGGATTGGAGCTGACGAAGTTAGAATGTGGTTAACATATGGCATGTATGACCATGCATAAGATTGCAAAGGCTTCATACTTCCACAAATTAACTGCGGGGAATATTATATGAAAGTAGAATGCCATGGAACATGCTAGTGCAGAACCCCAACCAGGCAGGCCAAAAATTATGGACGGGGTATGGCATACAGTGAAATGAGTGGAAAAGGCAAACCGGGTGTCTAACCTAAAAGCCATCACCCAGGAGGTTAACAAATGCACAGGTGTTTCAGCAAGTGTTTCTACTGTACCCAGGGAATATACCCTTGGACTACTGTAATACACTCTAGAGAGCACATGACATCTGGAAAAAGCTGTTATTGGCAGAGGGAGGTTTTTCCCAATACTTTTGGAAATATAGTGTACATTCCAAGGAAGGTTACAAAAATAAAAATGTGATAAACTGAATGTTGTACAGTACTTTGCCAAGGATCCACCAGAACATCAACATTCAATCACAAATACATTAATGAAATATTTAAAAATCTGGTAAGGGGGTGGCTTGATAAATGCTCCTCTCAAAGGTGGACAAAATCGACAGAAACAACTGAACTGCCTACCAGATCATATAACTTCACCCCAACAGATTTTCTCTCAGATTTTCTTAGATTCTGGATTAAGACATCAAAAGACATTTTGCCCACATCCTGAGTCAAGTTCAAGCACTCAATTAAGATTTAACAATAAATATTTAATATGGGAGTTTGAGGATTAGATCCATGATAGCCTTGAGATATTAATGAAATGAATGCAACCATTCAGTATGCATGTGTAGTGCATGCAGATACGCTTTTGCCAATAATCTAGATTATGTATCATCAACATAGTCTGCATTGATACAGATGGACAATGAGTACAGCCACACATGTGACTGATGGTCATAATCCTTTAGGAATTCCTTTAGTCTAGTCATTGCCAAGTGCTGTCCTTGAATGATGAAATTTTCCCACAGTTGGCAGCTGTGTTCTTCAAGATGGAGTTAAGCTTGGAAGAGCTTGTTTGTGCTTGAAAGCTCTGCATTCACCTAATTTGACCTCACTGGACAACTTCCTGTGGGACTACATCCAAGATAACACGTACATGAACAATCCCCACACTTTAGATGATTTGCAAGTCAACATCAGCAACATAATTTTCAACATCCCATGGGCAATGTTGTAGGCTGTAACCAAAAATATGTTTAGTCATGCATTCTTGTGTATTGAACTTGGTGGTGGTGAATTCCAGCATTTGTAGTGATCCTGGCTTTGCATTGATGAGACTATATTTTCACCAAATTTCATGCTTCACAGATTAATACTTTCTCTGTAATATGCATTTGTTAGGGTTTACTAATGAAACAAACACCCTGTATTTATGGTACCTGGCAGCTGTCAGCTTGCTGCTACCCTTTATGTATAGTCTATATCCTGAATCCTTGGACAGCAGCATTGCCTACTGCCTTGGAGGACCACTACAAAAGGGATTAGCACTTGTCAACTGAGTTGATTGAGAGACTCCATATTTTATTGAGAGGGTGGGGAGGTGGTAAAAGGGAAGAAGATGAGTTCAGAAAAATTTATTTTTCCAAGTAATTAGCCACAAAAAATTAGCCTTTGTCAAAAGTCAACATTATCAGTCTGACTTGTCACCATCAGCGTTGACACTCATTTAATGAGCCTCATTACCCTTTGACTCTTTGACAGTCTACTGCTTGCACAAGGATTCAGGATATTGACTATACCAGAATATTCAGACTTGATTGCTAAGCAGGTTAGTTGTCTTAGTACAACTGCATTCTTCTCACTGGAGAACGAAAATGCAATTCAGTCAGTCCCACTGTAAAGCTAAGGGCAAGAAATGCCCTAGTTCACTAGTTCCAATATGTACCAGTTCACTAGCGTAAACTGGTGCATACTGGAATGTGGCACCAATGTGACAAATGTATCTCAATGTGAAACAATATTTTGAAATTATATTCCCATCTACAGGGTGTCTGAAAAGTCACTCCCTATTTTTAAATTGTTATTGCTCCTAAACCAAAGGAGATATTGTAACTGTTCTTTCACTGTTTTAAGCTTAATCATTACCATTCAACGGAATGGCCTGC